GGAGACAGAGAGCGAGTTCGTGCGGTGTGTGTGTGTGTGTGTGTGTGTGTTCGACATTCGGAGAAATTGCGATCAACATCGGGAGGCTTTCAGTGGTAGCGGAGTCGGTGACGATTCATCGGCTCCAGCATATCCATGCGACGTGGTCAACAGGACGGAGAGGGGGGAGATCCGCATGATGAAGATCAGCCTCGTGGAGGCGGCGGCCGCGATCGGGAGCCCCCGCCTAGCTACGACGGGGTAAAGCTGGAGATGACCAACAAGCAGTGGAAGAAGGAACTGCGCTTGTGGTGTGCGACTACCGACATCCCACGGACCAAGTGGGGCGCCAAGCTGATGCGCAGGCTCGAGGGCAGCGCCAAGGAGGTCGTCGCGGACATGGAAATGGAGACCACCGTGGCGAAAGACAGGCATAGCATGCTGGAATACACGCTCGCGGCGGTGGGTCGCTTCAACGGGCTCAAGAAAAAAGGCGTGGAACTGCCGCCAAAGGCCCGGGGCTACATCGCGATGCGGCACGCTAAATTCGGGGACGAGGGTGAGGACAATATTCATACGTGGACGGCGGGAAGCTTCAACGAGGCCGAGGTGATCAGGGCGCTTCGAAGGCTCGACTAGATCTCGAGCGACAAGGGCGATCGCCAGTTCTTCGGGGAGAACACCGAGGAGGTCGGCCACTCGGAGGAGCACTACCCGGTGATGGAGGCAAACGATCTTCTCGACGAGGACCCAGAGTGCATCCACGTCATCGCGGATGACTTGCGGGAGGTCCACGGGGAGGCCGACGTGACGACGGCCCTGGCGTCCTATCAGGCGGCGAGGGAGTCGCTGCGCATCGAGAAGAAAAAAAACAGGCTTCGGCAAAGGCAAGCCGAGGGGAAAGGGCAAGGACTCGAACGCACCGCCGCCATCCGTCGTCAGCTTCGGCAACAGCAACAAGTACCAGGACGGCCAGGGCAGAAAAGGTGCGCGTGCACATCGATGTGATCCAGCTGCGGAAGAAGTGCGCGCGGTGCGGCCAGGTGGGCCACGTGGGCTCGGGAGCGCGTCGACCCGCCAGACGCCCGCGGAGCTGCTGCTGCGTCCATGACGAAATCCGGCTTCTTCGTGGGTGCTACATCAGCCTGCGCAGCAGTCAGCCCGGACGCAAAGGGAGGGCGTCTCGAAGGCGAGTCCAAGTACGAACATCGTCGCGACCATCATCGGGACCGCGTGGGCTCACACGGGACCTCTGGGGCTGCAAGTCTTGTGGAAGCCTTGCCGTCCGTGTTCGGGGTGTTTGCGAACCGCAACAAGCCCTCCGTGGACCCGGGGCGCCTCGGCCGGGTGCAGGATCTCCTGGGGCGTGCTGGAGATGACGGGCCCAAACAAGTGGGAGATCTTGGGCATGCTGAAGTTTCTGGGGGCTGGTTTGGGCTATCTCTTGGGGGTGGAAAGGCCCCGGTGGACGCCGCGGCCCAATCTGGCCTGGTCGGGGCTCAAGCTCTTCAACGGCTGGAAGAGGCTCTCAGAGTTCGGGGACCCAGGGTGAATCGGATAGACAAGCCCGCCCGGGCACCAGGAGTTGGGGGTCAAGCAAAGCTGTCGGAGTAGTGGTCACGCCCTGTGGTATCAGAGGATCGCATGGTCTCCTGGAGCTCGCGCTTGCGGAGGGAAGCGTTCCGCTGCTCTTGCATGTGAAGACCCAGAATTCCAAGCTCTGGTAGACCTCGAGAGTATGAAACGCGTCCTCAGGAAAGCAGGCGTCGAAGTACCGATGCGCGAAATCGAGGCGGGACATGTTGTTGCAGCTGTCGTGGAGTTCCGGTTTCAGGGCTGGGCGTTTTCCCTGGGCGCTCATTTTCACAAGAACGAGGAATTCCGAATCCACGGCCATTTGAGTCGGGGCAATTCTTCCGACGCGAAGCCCGTCGATGATGCAATTTGAATTTTCATATCTTCACGAAGCGCAGTCGAGCCCGCGCTTGGCGCGGACTCCGGCTCGACAGTCATCCATCCGATTCGCAGCGGGCCCAGCTCTCTCGGCGCGCGCGCAGCCGCTCGCGGGGCCATTCTCGCCGCCGCGCCCAGGGATGCGCTTCGGCTGGGAGAGCAGCGAGGGCGAGGAGGGGCACCTGGTGATCTGGACATCCTCGGAAAAGGGTCCGAGCTCCAGCGCGAGGGCAACCTGCGGAAGCACCGCCCGCAGCTCAACCGGGCCCATGGGTGCCGGCGCATTGCCCGCAGTGGAAGCGGCGCGCTGCGCGCGCCTGGAGACGGAGGTGGATGGCGGAAGGACAAGCGCGAGAGGGCAATGAGGTTCTGCGTGGCCGACCCGGAAAAGGAGAATTACGGCGCGCATTGCCGTCGGCGCAGGGGCGACGCGCGCAAGTTCCGCGAGTTGGAGAGTCTCCCAACCAACCGCCGGCATTGGAAGTGGATGCTGGGCTACCCGCTGAAGGGCACCAGTGGGCGCATCGCGAAGAAGGTGAGCGAGTGCCATCACCCCGTCGAGTCGCTGAGGGGCATGGGAGGAGTGGCCTCGGCAATGCAGCGCGCCGTGCGCAGGGGCCGATGGCAGAAGT